ATGATATTTAGCTAAGATTTTGAACTTGAGTTGATGCTGTAATAAGTTGACACTTTTGAGGGTGTTGTGATAGGGTGAATGTATTTTGTATGTGGGATGAACATCAATGTTTGGGAACCCCAGAGTGGATTGTGTAGGTTGAATAATGACTCCCTAAAAGATATATTATTTGGCCATAATTTGGCATATTTGGCCAAAAAAAAGACTTTGCAGATGTGATTAAGTTAAGGAACTTGCCATGACAAGATCACCTGAATTATCTAGATGAGCCCTAAATACAATAATAAATGTTCCTATAAGAGAGGGGTAGAAGGAGATGGCACAAAAGAGAAGACAATGTGACTACAGAGGTGGAGGCTGGAGTGATGTGGCCATAAGCCAAGGAATCCTGGCAGCCTCTGGTGGGAGCAGGGCCCTTGATTTTGGGTCAATGATATTGATTTCAGACTTCTGGCCTCTATAACTGTGAGAAAATAAACTTCTGTTGTTTCAAGCCACCAAGTTTAAGGTATTTCGTTACAATAGCCACCGGAAATGAATACACAAGTTCAAGAGATCTATTGTACAACATGGTGACTATAGTTAATAACAATTGATATGGTTAAGCTTTGTGCACCCACCTAAATCTCATCTTGAATTGTAATCCCCGTAATCCCTATGTGTCAAGGGACAGACCAAGTGGAAATAATTGAATCATGGGGGCAGTTTCCTCCATGCTGTTCCCATGATAGTGAATGAGTTCTCACAAGAGTTGATGGTTTTATTATGGGTTCTATTCGGCACTTCTTCTCCCTACCACCTTGTGAAGAAGGTGCTTTCCTTCCCCTTCACCTTTTGCCATGATTGTAAATTTCCTGAGGCCTTCCCAGCCATGCGGAACTGTGAGTCAATTAAACCTCTTTCCTTTACAGATTACCCAGTCTCAGGCAGTTCTTTATAGCAGTATGAAAACAGACTAATATGCAATGTACTGTATACATGAAAACTGCTGAGAGTAGATTTTAAGTGTTCTCACAACAAATAAACATTTGAGGTTATGTATATGTTAATTAGCTTGATTTGGCCATTCTACAATGTATACATATTTCATAACATCATGTTGTGCACCTGTGATATTGTGATTTATAATAAGATATATATATTTGGTCTTCATCACCTGATGTGGTTTGGATCTGTGTCCCTGCCCAAATCTTATGTTGAATTGTAATATCCAATGTTGGAAGAGGGCCCTGGTGGAAGGTGACTGGATCACGGAGACAGTTTCTTTTTTATTTTATTTTTATTTTTTTTTTTTTTTTTGAGACGGAGTCTCGATCTGTCGCCCAGGCTGGAGTGCAGTAGCCGGATCTCGGCTCACTGCAAGCTCCGCCTCCCGGGTTTACGCCATTCTCCTGCCTCAGCCTCCCAAGTAGCCAGGACTACAGGCGCCCGCCACCTCGCCCGGCTAGTTTTTTGTATTTTTTAGTAGAGACCGGGTTTCACCATGTGAGCCAGGATGGTCTCGATCTCCTGACCTCGTGATCCGCCCGTCTCGGCCTCCCAGAATGCTGGGATTACAGGCTTGAGCCACCGCGCCCGGCTTGACAGTTTCTTATGAATGGCTTAGCACCATCCCCTTGGTGCTAAGTTCTCAAAAGATCTGGTTGTTTAAAAGTGTGTGCAACCTCCACCCTCTCTCCCTCATGCGCTGGCCATGTTAAGACATGCCTGCTTCCCCTTCGCCTTCTGCCATGGTTGTAAGTTTCCTGAGGCCTCCCCAGAAGCAGAAGCTGCTATGCTTCCTGTACAGCCTGTGGAACTGTGAGCTAATTAAACCTCTTTTCTTTATAAATTACCCAGTCTCAGGTATTTCTTTATAGCAGTACAAGAACAGTCTAATACATTCCCCATTTCCTGGCACAGAGTTCCTAAAAGTCTTGGCATCTCCAGAGTGATGAGTGACTTTTTACACTAATGAGATGATGATGACTGGTGGCCCCTAGATAGCCTCAGGATGGCGGATGGTCACCAGAAAGACCAAGGCATGATTAGAGGATTGAGACTTGCAGACTCACTATAAACTCTGGGGAGAGGAGATGGGCAAAATGTTGACTTGATTACCAATGGCCAATTATATAACCAATCATGCCTACATAATGAAGTTTCCATAAAAGCCCAAAAGAACTGGCTTTGGATGAGTTTCCAGATAGTTGAACACAGACAGATTCCTAGAGCATGGCATGACTAGAGAGGGCATGGAAGCTCTGCAACCCTTCCCCCATTCCTCACTCTATGCATCTCTTCCATCCGCTGTTCATGTGCATCCTTTGTAATATCCTTGATAATAAATAGGTAAATGTAAGTAGTGTTTCCCTAAATTCTAGGAGCTGCTCTAGCAAGTTAATTGAACCCAAAGAGGGGGTCATTGATTTATAGTTGGTTGGTCAGATGTGTAGGTCACAACCTGGGACTTACAATTGGCATCTGAAGTGGGGGCAGTCTTGTGGTACTGAGCCCTCTAATGGTAGTATTTTCAGAGAGTGTCAGAATTGAATTAGAGGGCACCCAGGTGGTATCCACTGGAGAATCTGATGTCAGAGGTGTTGTGTTGGCTGTGTTAGGCTAAGAGAAACACTGTTTTGGCCAGGCGTGGTGACTCATGCCTGTAAAACCAGCACTTTGGGAGGCTGAGGGCAGATCACCTGAGGTCAAGAGTTCAAGACCAGCCTGGCCAACATGGTAAAATCCCGTCTCTACAAAAATACAAAAATTAGCCGGGCATGATGGCGGATGCCTGTAATCCCAGCTACTCAGGAGGCTGAGGCAGGAGAATTGCTTGAACCTGGTAGGTGGAGGTTATAGTGAGCCGAGATCATGCCACTTCACTCCAGCCTGGGCAACAGAGCAAGACCCTGTCTCAAAAAAAGAAAGAAAGAAAGACTGTTTATTCCCTCTACCTCTATTAATACCATAAATACATACAATTTTTCTTTGTCAATTAAATAATAATAAAAACAAAACAAAACAAACATGAGAGGCTGGGTGCGGTGGCTAGTGCCCATAATCCCAGCAATTTGGAAGGCCTAGGTGGGTGGACTGCTTGAGCCCAGGAGTTTGAGACCAGCCTGGGCAACACAGTGAAACCCCATCTCTACAAAAAAATACAAAAAATTAGCCAGCTGTGATGGCATGCACCTGTAGTCTCAGCTACTTTGGACGCTGACGTGGGAGTTTCACTTGAGCCTGGGGAGGATGAGGCTGCAGTGAGCTGTGATTGCACCACTGCACTCCAGCCTGGGCAACAGAGCGAGACCATCTCAGAAAAAACAAGAAAAAAATTACATTTACTATTGCCCTATCCTGCTCAATTTTTGATTCACTCCCAGCAGTTTCTTAGTGTAGTCTGCTGTCCTAGAAAAGAGCCCTGGTAATATCATCATACAGTAAAGAATTAACTAAGGAGGTCTGGGTTGTTTAAACCTTGTGCATTCCAAGGAAAGGTTTGGCCCTTGCCCCAGCTCCTGGGATATAACCTGTAAGTCAGGGGTCCCCAACTGCCAGTCCACAGACAGTACGAGTCCATGGCCTTTTAGGAACTGGGTCGCACAGCAGGAGGTGAGCAGCAGGCAAGGGAGCGATACTGCTTGAGCTCCACCTCCTGTCAGATCAGTGGCAGCATTAGATTCTCATAGGAGCATAAACTCTATTGTGAACTGCGCATGCAAGGGATCTAGGTTGCACATCCTTATGAGAATCTAATGCCTGGTGATCTGAGATGGAACAGTTTCATCCTGAAACCATCCCCCTCTGCCCCATGTCCATGGAAAGATTGTCTTCCACAAAACTGGTCCCTGGTGCCAAAAAGGTTGGGGACCACTGCTCTAAACCCTTGAAATATACTGCCTGTTAAAAAACCTTTGTTTACTTGAGTGTATGAGCCATGCCAGATAGCTGTGATTTTTGGTATGAGTCTTGGGCTGTGCAGTATCGGCATGAACCTTGGAAGGACTGAGTAAGGTCAACCACACAGGTAGTTGGCCATGCCTGAAACTGACTCCAAATAAAAGCCACAGACACCGAGGCTCAAGTGAGAGTCCATGGTTGGTAATACTTCATGTATGTTACCCCACATCTTGCTGGGAGAATTAAGCACTGGCCGTATGACTTCACTGAGAAGGGAGAACCCAAAGCTTGATCCTTGTTTCCCCTGGACTCTGCCCTATGTGCCCTTTTCCATTGCTGAATTAAGTCTCTATCCTTTTGCTCTAATGAACTGTAACCATCAGTATAGCAGCTTTGCTGAATTCTGAGTCCTTCATAGTGAATCAGTGAACCTGAAGTTGGTCCTGGGAACCCCCAAGCACAGTCAGTCTTAAGAGTTCATAGAAGGCTGGGCATGATGGCTCACACCTATAATCCCAGCATTTTGGGAAGCTGAGGCAGGAGGATCACTTGAGCTCAGGAGTTCAAGACCAGCCTGGGCAACATAGCTAGACCTTATCTCCACTAAAAATTTAAGAAATTAGCTCAGTGTGATGGCATGTGCCTATAGTCCCAGCTATTCGGGAGGCTGAGGGGAGAGGATTACTTGGGCCTGGGAGGTTGAGGCTTAGGTGAGCCAAGATCATGGCACTGCACTCCAGCCTGGGTGACAGAGCAAGACCCAGTCTCAAAAAAAAAAAAAAAAAAAAAAAAGGAGCTCATAGGAATTATTATAGTCTGCTGCTCCAACCCCTTCCAACCTTCCTGCAGACCCCTCAAACTCACCTGTTGCTGAATTTTGCAAAATTCCTCTCAGTTTCAGCTGCTGAATTCAAGTTGGTCTGTCATGCCCACTGGCTGTTTTGGTATTGTGTTCTCAGGTCTGGCAAATGCTGCTTACTTCCCCCTGCTTTTTCCTATACAGATAATTGTACCATAAAGTTGTTGTGGCTGTTGGTGACTTGTCCTTACTCATGTGTATTTTGATATTCATGGGTATTTCAGCTATCTATTGCTGTGTAAATAAACCACACCAAAACTTAGTGGATTAATAACTATTTTATTGCTCACGAATCTGGGCATGGCTCAGTGGGGATGGCTCGTTTCTTCTTTCTTCTTTTCTTTTCTTTTCCTCCTTCTCCTTCTCCTTCTCCTTCTCCCTAGAGGTGGGATCTTGTCCTGTTGACCATTGGAGTGCAGTGGTGCGATCATAGCTCGCTGCAGCCTCAAAATCATGGGCATGGCAGTTCTCCTGCCTCAGCCTCCCGAGTAGCTGGGACTACCAGCATGTGCCACTGTGCCTGGATAATATATTTTAGTAGAGATGAGGTCTTGCTTTGCTACCCAGGCTGGTCTCAAACTCCTTGCTTCACCGCTTCAGATGATCTGCCCGCCTCAGCCTACCAAAGGGCTGGGATTACAGGTGTGAACCACCACGCCCAGACTTGTTTCTTCTCTATATGATATCTGGGGAAGTTGGAATGGTACTGGAGGATGCAAGATAATTTCATCACATGACTGGGACCTCAGTGCTAGCTGCCAGCAGGGGCCTCAGTTATGTACATGGCCTATATTTAAGAGTCTCATGCTCTACCGACTGAGCTAGCCGGGTGGCCGTCATAGTGCTGCATGACCTATTTTTAAAAGGTGTCTCATCCTCCAGGACCTCTGTCTTCAAAAGGACAGCACAGACCTCCTTACAGGGTATCTAGGTTCTCCTCTCACTAAAGCAAAAGTTCAATGTTTTTTAAGGCTGGGCTCAGAAGTCCCAGAATGCCATTTCTACCATACCTTATTGGTCAAATGGAACACAAGGCCAGCCCAGACACAAAGGATGAAAAATTAGGCTCCATGTCTTGATGGGAGGGTGGCAAACACGTACAGGGTTGGAAATACAGCTGGTAGCCCTATCTGCAGAAAATCTGCCACACTGGGGACACTGTGTCCACTGGCCCCACCATAAATGTTGTCCATGGGTTTTGATTTTGTCATCTGGTTGCTCTGTCTGTATGCTGGCATAACTTTCCACGCCCAGCCTACAAGCACATTTAAAATAAAGAGACTGGGGCTGGGTGTAGTGACTCATGCCTGTAATCCCAGCACTTTGGGAGGCCAAGGCAGGTGGATCCCTTGAGGTCAAGAGTCTGAGATCAGTCTGGGCAACATGGTGAAACCAAGTCTCTACAAATACAAAAATTAGCTGGGCATGGTGGTGCATGCCTGTAGCCCCAGCTACTTGGGAGGCTGAGGTGAGGGGATCGCCTGAGCCTGGGAGGTAGAGGCTGCAATGAGTAGAGATCATGCCACTACACTCCAGTCTAGGTGACAGAGTGAGACCTTGTCTCAAAAAATAATAATAATAAATAAAATAAATAGCCAATGAGCTTAGTGGCTACCTTATTAGACAGTTTTTTTTTTTTCTAATTTAAAAAAAAAAAAAACTATCTCAGAAAAGAACAGAAATTTTGGGTGAGGGTAGAATGAAGAGGTAAAAACATTCTAAATGGTTCATTCTCCTAAGAAATTAGGAGTAAAGTGAAAAAAGAAGAAATAATCATATAAAATGTCAGATAGGGAATATTATCTATATCTGATATGACTGTACCATTAGAAAACCTAAGAAAAAACTGTACTGAGAAGCTACCAGAATAGGTAGATAGTTTTGATAAGGAGCTGGATACAAGATAAAATTATCACCTGTAGTCCCAGCCATTTGGGAGGCTGAGGTGGGAGAGTAACTTGAGTCCAGGAGTTTGACACCAGCCTGGGCAACACAGGAAGAACCTATCTCTACAGAAAAATCCAAAAATTAGCTGAGTCTGGTAGTGCACACCTGTAGTCCAAGCTACTTGGGAGGCTGAGGAGGGAGGATCATTTGAGCCTGAAAGGTTGAGGCTACTACAGTGAGCTGTGATCATGCCAGTGAACTTCAAGGCAAGATCCTGTCTCAAAAAATAAAAATAAAAGAGAAAATTATAAAAATAGGTTCTTCCTATACTAGCAGTAAGCAGATGGGACTAGCAAAACTAAGTCTTAATGACAACAAAAATATAAATACGCAAAAATAAATTTAACCAAAAAAGATAAAAAGATGATGGATTTAGAAAATTATAAATATCATTGCAGCATATAAGACAATCAAACAGACACATCAAATCCCTAGATATAAAGAAAGGCTTAATGTAATAAAAACATTACATCTCCCTAACTATTATATTAATGTAAATATAATTCCAATCAAAAGCATAATAGTTTAGTTTTTTTGTTTTTTTGTTTTTATGGTTTTTTTTTTTTGAGACAGTCTTGCTCTGTCACCCAGGCTGGAGTGCAGTGGCACGATCTTGGCTCACTGCAACCTCTGCCTCCCGGGTTCAAGCAATTCTCCTGCCTCAGCCTTCCGAGTAGCTGGGATTACAGGCGTGTGTCACTGTGCCCAGCTAATTTTTGTATTATTAGTAGAGACAGGGTTTCACCATGTTGGCCAGGCTGGTCTTAAACTCCTGACCTCAAGTGATCCGCCGGCCTGGGCCTCCCAAAGTGCTGGGATTACAGGTGTGAGCCACCTTGCCCAGCAATAGTTGAGGTGTTTTTTTTGTTTGTTTGTTTTTGTTTTTTTTTTTTTTTTTTTTTGAGACAGTCTCACGCTGTTGCCCAGGCTGGAGTACAGTGGTGTGATCTCTACTCAATGCAACCTCCATCTTCTGGGTTCTAGCAATTCTCCTGCCTCAGCCTCCCAAGAAGCTGGGATTATAGGTGCATGCCACCAGGGTGGCTAATTTTTATATTTTTTAGTAAAGACAGGGTTTCACCATATTGGCCAGGCTGGTCTCGAACTCCTGGCCTCAAGTGATCTGCCCGCCTTGGGCTCCCAAAATGCTGGGATTATAGACGTAAGTCACCTCGCCCAGCCACAAAAATTTAGTTTTGTTGTGTTTTTGGGTTTTTTTTGGGGGGGCTGGGGGCCGGGTTGGTAGCATTCATTTTGAAACTTGATTAAATGATTTTAAACTTCAGAGAATTCCTAGAAAATAAATTTGCAAGAACAAAAATCCCTTGAAATCAAATAGATTACAGACACAAAATAGAGTTCAGGTCAAGCTAAGTATATCTGTGACCTTATATGACTGAATTGTGGGTAGAAGGTGGTGTGTTTCATAAATGGTGCCAACTGACAATACTGAATTTTACCTCAGCCTGGTGAGCAGTGCAGGTCAAAAAATCCCCTTACTCTAAAGGGAAAATGGCTTTTCTGGAAAATGGCTTACTGCAAAGAACCATCCTTCCCCATATGACTTAGAAGTCACGGATGTCCCCTGTTTACCTATGAAAAGCCCTGACACCCACTCTCCAAATTCCCATTCTTTGCCTCATAGATGACAAGCCTAACTGCTTGTCCCCACTGATCAATCAGAACGAAATGCTCTTTAGCCAAACTTGAACCAGGCTTCTTTCCTACAAGCTCCTAACTCTGCTTGCCCCTAAGCCTGGGCAAGCATCAAAAAAAGTCGAAATTCCCCCCCTCCCGACAGACCCTGCTTCTCAGCTTCTCCTGGGAATAGGCGGACCACAGTGGGACAATTTCCTGGCAGACCCCACTGGCCATTCCCCCTTGTTTGTGCAGCTTCCTTTCCACAGATTCTGCTTATCTCTGCCTGCCTCCCTACCCTGTACAAGAAAAGCCTTTTTCTGTTTGGTTTCAAGATGCTCTCAGGTTTCTGAGCTGGGAGCATTCTCCTTTTTGCAATAGTCTGTCTTTCTAATTAAAGTCTCTGATTTTATTTGACACAGAAAAAAGCGTGACACAGGCTTCTTGTTCAAGCTTGATCTTGATTTCATACCATATACCACAGTAAATTCCAATTAGATTAAAGTAGAAAAAAAACTAAAGCAGTAACAACACTGAAATAAACGTTAAGATTATCTTTCTATCTGGAATAGGGAAGGGAAACTAGGCAAGATGGGATATACAAAAGCCATAAAAAGAAAGTTTAGACATATCTGATCAGAGGCTACATTTCACTAGTTACATATTACACATAAAATTTTTCTTTCTTTCTTTCTTTTTTTTTTTTTTTGAGATGAAGTCTTGCTCTATCACCCAGGCTGGAGTGCAGTGGTGTGAGTTCAGCTCACTGCAACCTCCACTTCCCAAGTTCAAGCGATTCTCCTGCCTCAACCTCCCAAGTAGCTGGGATTACAAGCAACCACCACCATACCTGGCTTTTTTTTTTTTTTTTTTTTTTGTAGAGATACCACACCCAGCTACTTATTCTTTATTATTATTATTTTATTTTTAGTAGAGATGGGGTTTCACCATTTTGGTCAGGCTGGTCTCGAACTCCAGGCCTCAGGTGACCAACAGCCTCAGCCTCCCGAAGTGCTGGGATTACTGTGCCCAACCTACATAAAATTTTTCTAATTGCACATTTAAAAAAACATAAAATGCAAAAGACAAAAGGAGTTTGGGGGAAAATACTGCAATGTAACTGACAGATGGTTAATAGCCTTAATGGACAAAGATGTTAATATCTCTAATGTAATATCCCTAATGTACAGTGTAACTGACAGACTGTTAATATCCCTAGTGTACAATGTAATTTGTACACTGTTTACAAATTGATAAGAAAAGGACAAATCACCCCAGAGAAAACTGGACAAAGGATATGAACATCTGCAAAAGAGATAAGCCAAATGGCCAACAGACCAAAACAATCCTCAACTGCACAAGTAGTCAGAAAAATACAAAATTAAAGACAGCATCAACATCCAGCGCTGGAGGGGATTTGCCTTAATGAACTTAATGATTTTGCTGGTAGGACTAGGAAACCTTATAATCTTTTGGGGGAAGGAATTTGGCTATATCTATTCAGTAATGAAACACCGTTACCTGCAGTTAATAAAACTTCAAAACATAGGAAGCAAAAAATTGAATAGCACAAGGAAAAATTTGACAATACAGTCTCTCTTTCTCTCCTCTCTCTCTCTCTTTCTCCCCCCCACATCACCCCCAGTTGACAAGCTAAAGGGAATTATCAGGAAACACACATTTTAAAAGGCCCAACACACAAGCTTGAACCGATAGAGCCCTAGAGTACGATGAACCCAACAACTAGAAGATACAGTGTTTTCAATCAAGACACAAAACCATTTTTGAAAGCTGGCCTTGTACTTGAGCCTTAAGGCAAGTTTCATCAAATTTCAAGCTCAACATTCTTGGGCCACAAGGCAAATGGGCTTAGAAATCACTAACACAGGGATTAACTTCTTGTTCGTTTGCGGAAATGCAAAACGGTGTTAAGACCTGTAACATTTTCTGCAGTCCCTCTAAATTCCTTCTTTGAATAATCGATTCCTAGAACAGGACGCGATGGACCAAGCTGGGTCAACCTGCCGACAGCTCCGTTGGGCAGCATGTCCACCCCTGATGACCAAAGCCCACCAAACGTGCAGCTGGCACTCGGCCGCCTTTGTTTCCTTCCCCTAGAATGAAACTCCGCTGCTTTCCCACATTCCTGGAGCAGCCGGAATAAAGCGCCCATGGCCTTGCCCTTTGAGTCTCAGAGGATGTTTGCCACTCCGACAATGGACTTTTAAATAACTCAGGGGTCAAAAGGCGTGTGTAGGGGGAGAGTTACAAATCAGCACTTGAAACCGAACACGAACAAAAATCAAATCCGAACTAATACAACAAATCAAAACTTGGATCTTTAGAAGAAAACTTCAACTTTAATGCTTCCAGGAGGAAAGCAGAAAGGCTAATGACTGAATTGTGAAAACGAGCCAAAATACTCCACCCCTGATGCCACACACACCTATGACTCCCTGCACAGATCCACGGTCCCGGGCGCTGAATCCCCGCAACCCTCCGCGCCCACAGAGGTTAAACTCTCGCTGCCGGCGACTTCCGCTTCCTGGCCTAAATCTGACACGCACGACTCCCCCTGCGGCAACTGCACAGGTTCGGTGACAGCCGAGACGCCGGGCGTTTCCCGCAGCCGGCCTGGGCCCAGGTCGGAGCTGTAGCCAGCAGGGCCGCCAGGTGGGCTCGGGACGGGGCGGGTGCGGGGTCCCAGCCGCGGCGGGAGAGGGGTCGCCGCGTCCCACAGAGCAGTGCGGCGTCGGGGGCGGGGGCGGGGCTGGGTGCGTCTCGGGACCTGCTCCGGGGGGTGGGGGCTGGGCGCTATTTAAAGAGGCGGAGGCTCCCCGGTGGGGACGGCCTGAGGCCGAGTGCACCCTGAGGGCGGAAGAGGTAAGGCGCCCCGCCCGCCGGGGCCTCAAAGGCGACTGACTCCTAGAGGCTGCGGCAGAGGGGAGAAGCCTGGTGGTACATTCCATGGCCCAGTGCCTCGGCCACTGGAAAATCCCACAGGGGTATATCGAGTAGGGTACCGTGGGCTCCGCTGCTGAAATGATCACCCTTCCAAGATGGCGGCTCCCGTAGAGACACTCCCAAGGGGACAGCCATGTTCCTTGCCCGACAGTCGCTGCAGGAAATTGGAAAGCCCGCCTCTCCTTCGACGCACACGCGCACGCACGCACGCACGCACCGGCGCGGTGTAAGGGCACCAGGTGTAATTGTGGGCGAGCGGCCGCTTCGGAGCTGACACTAAGCATGTGCAGATCAAGTCCAGAAGCGCCCGGGTCCCTCGAAGCAGTTTTCAGGACTTAAGGCTCTGGGAGTGAGTTTAACAGACGGACTTAGGGCCACTTAAGCATTGAGATAATTATGGAGATGTTAAGACATGGATCAAGCGTTGAGATAATTATGGGGATGTTATGACATGGATTTTGTACTCGATGATGCTCAGTGGGGTGAGGAGGCTTCTCTGGGGTCATTTATAGGGAGGTGCAGAGAGTGTGATTGGGGTATGTGGGTGAGTGATGGGTCACTAGAGAAAATTGATGGGTAGCCTGTAGGATGAGTGTTGGGGACACCGGAGTAAATGATAAGGGGGTCTGTGGGGTGAGTGATACAGGATCTCTAGGGTGAGTGATAAGGTATATGTGAGATGAGTGATGAGAAGTCCGTGGGGTGAGAAGGGGCTGTGCGGGGCGACTACTGGAGGTCTGTGAGGTGTAGGATGGGGCTTATTGGGGGATTGACCAAGGTTTCTGCCGGGTGAGTGATGCATTTATTTGGGACTGGTGATGGGGGGCTGTGGAATCAGATATGCAGCTTCCTGGGGTCAGTGATAGGTGGTCTTTAGGTCTGACATGAGATTGTTTCAAAAACCTACTTTTGACTTTGTTGGTCCTCCTGTGTCTTTGTTTCTCTGTCATTAATATCTGCCCTTAACTTTGTTACTTTTTTTTCTGTTTTTTTCTTTTGTTCTCATTTTTAAAGTCCTGAATTGAATGCTTATCTCTTATTATCCAGTCATTTTATTTTATAACATAAACATTAAGTTTATAAATTTTTCTCTAAGAACTCTTTAGCTCCATGTCACATGTTTTGTTGTTGTTGTTGTTGCTGCTGTTCGATTTTGTTTTGAGACAGGGTCTCACTCTGTCGCCCAGAGATGGAGTGCAGTGGCACGATCATGGCTCACTGCAGCCCCAACCTCCTGTGCTCAGTCGATCCTCCCAACTTAGCTTCTCAAGTAGCTGGAACTACAGGCATGTGGTGCCACACCCACTAATTTTTTATTTTGTGTAGACACAGGGTCTCACTATGTTGCCCAGGCTGATTTTTTTTTTTTTTTTTTTTAAGATACAAGAATCTCTCTCTGTTGCCTAGGCTGGAGTGCAGTGGAGCCATCATGGCTCACTGCAGTCTCAACCTCCTAGGCTCAAGTGATCCTCCCACCTCAGCCTCCCAAGTTGCTGGGACTACAGGCAGGCTTGCCCAGCTAATTTTTAAATTTTTGGTAGAGATTGGGGTCTTGCTATGTTGCCCAGGCTGGTCTTGAACTCCTGGCCTCAAGCAATCCTCAAGTAGTCCTCCCAGCTCATCCTCCCAAAGTGCTGGAACTACAGGCATGAGCATCCAACCCACAAGTTTTGATACGTAGCATCTCCACTATAGTTTCCTTCTAGTGTTTTCTAATTGCAGTTGCAATGTTCACTCTTACCTCTGGGTTATTTAAATATGAGATTTTGATTTCCCAAAACATTGACATTTTTGTTACTGATTTCTAAATTGTGGTTAGAGGCTGTCACCTGAGTGATCATTACGTGCAGGAATGATGCTTTTAAGTTCAATACATACCACCATACTACTTTCCAAAACTTTTGTAAAATTGGAACTCCCACCAGCAACATATAAAAAGGCTTCTTCCAAAATCCTCTTCCACATTGGATTTTTTTTTTTAATTTTCCCCATTCTGAGGGCCAAACGCAAGGGTATCTAGTTTGCCTTGATGTACATTTTCCTGACAACTAGTGGCTGAACATTATTTCATTCTTATTGGCCATTGAAATATATGTTTAAACTTTTTCATGTCCTTTGCCATTTGTTTCCTTTAGGTGGTTTGTCTTTCTTACTAATTTGTGAATATTAACCTGTATTGTAACTATATTTCCTCTATCTCTGTATTTTGACTTTTGAAAGATGTCTTCACCTTTGATTTTTTAAAAATCATCTATGAAGATATATCTGCCTTTTTCCTTTACAAGTTCTGAGTGTATTGTCTTGCCTAGTGACTTCTTCTCATTTCATGTTCAAACAAATATGCCTTAAATTTATATTTAATATATTTATTGTTTCAATTTTTAAAGTTAAATTTTAATCTAACTGGAATTTATTTTGGTGTATGGTATGAGATGGAATCAGTTCATATATTCCATTTGGATACCTAATTTGCCAGCACCAGTCGTTAAATGAATACCGTTTTCTAATTCAATTAAATGCCACTGTTGTCACATAAGTTCCCAAATGTGTATTGTTTTATTTCTGACCTGTTTAGTTCTTCTGATATATGTATCTACTCCTTTTTAAAAAATCATATTGACTTTAGAAATAGTTTTAATATCACATAGAACTAGTCCCCTCGCTTTCTTCTTGGTTGCTTTCACTAATTTTCTTGTGCGTTTATTATTATTCTTTTTTTTTTTTGAGATGGAGTCTTTCTCTGTTGCCTAGGCTGGAGTGCACTGGTGCAATCTCGGCTCACTGCAACCTCCACCTCCCAGGTTCAAGCAATTCTCCTGCCTCAGCCTCCCGAGTGGCTGGGACTACAGGCGTGTGCCACCCTGCTCAGCTAATTTTTGCATTTTTAGTAGAGACGAGGTTTCACCATATTGGCCAGGCTGGTCTTGAACTCTTGACCTTGTGATCTGCCTGCCTCGGCCTCCCAAAGTTCTGGGATTACAGGCATGAGCCCCTGCTCCCGGCCTTTTTCTTCCATATGAATGTTAAAACTATTTTATCTAGTTTCAAAAATAACCGTTAAAACTATAATATTTGATAGTTTTCTTATGGGTCCAGCACCTTTTTTTTTTTTTTAACAGTTCATTCTTAGATATTTTACCTTTGTTTTTATCATCATTGTGAATAGCATATTTTTTTCTATTTCCATAGGGAAAATCTATTTTTATAATTTTATTTCGTATTCAGTCCAATTACCAAATTCTCATATGAATCTAGTTGCTTTTTATAGTCTTACTTTTCCTAGCTACCATATTCCATCCAATTAAAAATGATACTGTCTCTTCTCTCAAATATTTATTCTGATCACCTTATCTTCTGTTGCACTAGTTAGAGCTTTCAGAACAATGTTGAGTGACATTTAATAGAGGGTTTTGCTATCTTGCTGCTAATGTTAATGAAAATAACTTGGGCATTTTTTATTTGAATGTGAAAAGTGTTTATTTATTCATCAATCTATTCAGTAAACATTTATTGAATACCTACCCCTTGCCAGATATTGACTTTGCAACCCTGCTTGGCACTTACTAGCTATGATTTTTTTTTCTAACAGCTTTATTGATATCATTCATCTGCCATAAAATTCACCCATTTAAAGCTTACAGTTCAGCAGTTCCTAGCATATTCACAGAATTGTGCAACCATCATCACAATCTAATTTTAGAATATTTTATCACCCCAAACGGAAACATCGTACCCATTAGCAATCATTCCTCATTCCCAACCCTCATCCCTAGCCACAGGCAACCACTAATTTACTTCCTGTCTCTGTAGATTGGTCTATTCTAGACATTTTATATAAATGGAATCATAAAATATGTGGTCTTTTATGATTGTCTTATTTATTTATTTTAGACAGAGTCTCACTCTGTCACCCAGGCTGGAGTGCAGTGGCCAGATCTCAGTTCACTGCAGCCGCTGTCTCCCGAGTTCAAGCAATTCTCCTGCCTCAGCCTCCCAAGTAGCTGGGATTACAGGCACCTACCACCACGCCTGGCTAGCTTTTGTATTTTTAGTAGACATTGGCCAGGCTGGTCTTGAACTCCTGACCTCAGGTAATTCGCCCACCTTGGCCTCCCAAAGTACTGGGACTATAGGCATGATCCACTGCGTCCGGCCGTGATTGTCTTCTTTAACTTAGCCTAATGTTTTCAAAGCTCATCCATGTTATAGCATGTATTAGGACCTTATTCCTTTTATTATTTTGTTTATTGTGGTATGAACACTTAACATGAAAACTACCCTCTTAAATTTTGTTTTTGTTTGTTTGTTTGTTTTGGTTTTGGTTTTGATTTTTGAGACAGTCTCGCTCTGTCACCCAGGCTGGAGTGCAGTGACGCAATCTCGGCTCATTGCAACCTCCACCTCCCAGGTTCAAGCAGTTCTCCTGCCTCAGCCTCCCGCGTAGCTAGGACTATAGGTGTGTGCCACCACACCTGGCTAATTTTTAGTAGAGACAGGATTTCAACATATTGGTCAGGCTGGTCTCGAACTCCTGACCTCAGGTAATCCACCTGCCTCGGCCTCCCAAAGTGCTGGGATTACAGGTGTGAGCCACCGCACGTGGTGTATCCTCTTAA